TCTCTTGGGATTCCATCTGTATAATGGCAGAATAATGTGAAGATCTTCCTCCTCTGTTATCAGCAAACGATGGGCAAGAGAGACATGTTTGGATAAACATTAAAGCAAGGAAGACTTCGTTCTACTAGGAAACAAGCTTTCCATAAAGCTTGTATTTGAAAGGGATGGCAAGTCAAAAGCCACAGTGTTACTGCTTTGTTTGAGAACAGACAGGTTAGAGTGGGAATGACTGCAAGCACCACCATGGATACATGAGTCTGCTGCACTTTTATATCTCTGTCTGGATCTGGAGCAGCAATCTGGCCTGCTAGACATGGGGCAAAGGGTCATTGTCTCACCAAAGCAGCCACAGCATTTGCAAATGCTGTGAATTGTGCACAGGGATCTGTTGTTGCATGCAAGTCATCCTTCACTAAACTAGAGCTAAACCAGCTGATGAAATGAACAGTTCATATATAAATGAGATGCACACATCAGTATACATTTGTATACATTTGTATATGAAGGATTTTGTGGCACAGTGGCTGCTAGGAATACAGTGGTGCCCCGCAAGACGAATGCCTCGCAAGACGGAAAACCCGCTAGACAAAAGGGTTTTCCGTTTTGGAGGTGCTTCGCAAAATGAATTTCCTATGTGCTTGCTTCGCAAGACGAAAATGTCTTGCGAGTTCCTGCGGGGTTTTTTTCCTCCCCCCCCCTTTTCCCAAGCCGCTAAACCGCTTATCAGCTGATGGCTAAGCCGCTTATCAGCTGATCTTTAAGCCGCTTAACAGCTGATGCTAAGCCGCTTATCAGCTGATCTTTAAGCCGCTTAACAGCTGATGCTAAGCCGCTTATCAGCTGATCTTTAAGCCGGCTAAGCCGCTAATACTGTAACGCTAAGCCGCTAAACCTCTAATGGGCTTGCTTCGCAAGACGAAAAAACCTGCAAGACGAAGAGACTTGCGGAACGGATTCTTTTCGTCTTGCGAGGCACCACTGTAATTTAATTCTTCGGAACTTCTGAAATACTGGTTTTAGTGATCAATGCATTTTTATAGCATGTAGATGTTGATAGTCTGCTTGTTAGAAATCATAAGGCACTTTGGAGTTTTCGAAGGTGAACTGCATTAAAAAACTGTCAAATCATTCGATAACCTCCCAATTTATATTTGACACTCATGGATGAGAAAGATACATGTATCTTGCTTTAGGTTATTCAAGGAGCAGTTTAACAATGTCAGCCCATTTGTGAAAATCTACAGATTCTGAACTCGCTGAAACCAACTCCTTGATAGAATTTGCCTTCTCATTTAAGCCCAATTGGCCACCACAGCGTGCTGAAGATTGAAAGTACTTTAGTAACTGGCCATATCAATTACTTCATTAATGCAGTAGATTTGTAAAAAGAAAGAAAGAAGGAGAAACCATTTCTTGGCATACTATCAAAGACAAGAAAGTCATGAAGTTACCAGAATATGAGAAGGTACCATATAAAAAATTAGATGATTCAGCAAACCTTCAACAAACCGTGAGGTACTAATCAAGTGTTTGGAGTTCAACCACTTCAGATTTTAGGGAGGAAAGCACATGAATGAGAGCACTTCCATGTGCCTCTCCCAAAAAAATCTTCCACAGAAACAGCTAGCATTTCAGGGGAAATCATTATTTATTGGGGGGGGGGGTAGAATAGAAAATACTTCAGAAATATCAGTCTGCAGTGGTCACACCCAGGCACAGTTTTTCCATCTCAATGAAAAGTAGGTTAGAGAAGTCCGTTTGACTTCCAAAGTGTTTGGAAACCAAGGTTCGGCTTCTGATTGGCTGCAGGAAGCTCTGTCGGAAGCACTGTCAGACATTCGGGTTCCAAAGAACATTTGCAAACTGGAAGACTTACTTCTAGGTTTGCGGCGTTCGGGAGTCAAAACATTCAAATTGCAAGGCGTTTGGGATCCAAGGTACAGTAAGCCTACAACTTGCATACACTTAACTTGTGCACATTCAGCTTTACGTGCTTGGTAATAATAATAATAAAAAAAAATTAAAAGGGCAATCCTATTGCCACTGCACCCAATGTGTCTTGACCATGCATTGTTTTGGCTTTAAGCACAATCCCCGGAATGTAACCCCCACAAAAGTTGTGGGCTTACTATACTGCAAACTATGGGTTAAGCTACATTGATTTTGAGGTCCTTTACAAGACCATATAGATACATAGGCAGACAGACAGACAGACAGACAGACAGACATGCTATGCCATTTAAATAGACATATGCCACAGGAACTAAAAAAATTGGTCGGACTACAGGTTTATAATGAGAACATATCTCTGTTAATATCCAGAGAAAGAATCTACATAAAGGTAAACTGTCAAATAGTTTTCAAACCAAATCCTGTCTCTATTTGTACAAAGCCATTAACACATTTCAGACTACATTTCCAGCATGTATTGACAACTCTTTGAAACCCTGAATGCTCCTAGCTAAGCATCCTATGAAGTTGGGCCCCTGCTGCACTATAATTATGCAATACTACCTCCGGACAGAGAGTGCAACTACAGGGCTCCCTATCAGGAGTTACTATTAAAATGACATGAAAAGAGTAGATATGTTCTCAGTTGTCAGAATATTTAAAATGCAGACAAGCAGTTCAGTTTCAGGAATCAGCCTGGATCCGAAGAAAAAGGGAAAGGTTGGTTTCTCCCCCACCCTGTGTCTCTCCTTCTGCCTCCATATACGACAGAGATGAGAGCAGCATCTGTCAGAGAGCTGTGGAGTCTTCCCAGGACATGGTGCCATGCAGATGAAATAGACAAAACAGTACATGCAAGAGAAGGAACAGCAAGGAAGATAGCATTAACTGGCATGCTAAATTGGGTCTGCCCACTAAGGCGCAGCTTAGACATACAGTTCTTGTCTGTGTCATCTAAAAGCTAGAAGCTAAGGCAAGAGACTGAGCTGTAACATGATGCCTATTGTTTGAAAGTCACCCCTATCAATCATGGCCCTAAGGATGAAGAGGATGAAGTTGAGGAGTCAGGAGGGTAACTGCACACAGGTCTAGCTCCAGAAGCACTTCTGCCAAGACAAGCCTGTGGTGTCAGGGCTCTAATAGCCCAAAGATGTTACATTGCTGTCCTCTGATTCAGGAAACTCCATTACAGAAGCCCCAATACAACCAGCATGTCTCCCGTTTTGTTGGAGTAAAGAACTGCTGGGGGAATCCTCATTAATTGAAGACCACCCCCTGCCCACCCAGCAAGCTTGCAGCTGGGACAGAACTGCTGCTCCTATATAGGTCTCCATCTGAAGTTGACTGTTGCTGAAGCAACTTTTAGTCTAATCCCTGTATAAGGCAGTTTTACCTTGCCCTGATCCACCTCTGTTCAGGTCAGCAGAATTCACTAGGTAGCTTTACGCAATCCAGAATGTACTAGCCTCAGCCCACCCCCAATCTGCTAATATGATGGTGTGGCCTATCTTAGAAATGGTCACTGAGATGAGGAACGCAAAATGCTTTGAACATTTTAAAAGTTCTATATATGTACTAAGTATTACATTATCGCCACTGCTGCCATTATCCAGACATAACACGAGCACTGTGAAATCAGTGGTGCTGTTTGGAAGCAACCTCTAACAGGGCCACTTTTTCACAAGTTTAAACACCAACCTGAAATAGAAGAAAAAGGAAAACGATGGCCCTAAATACTGCCTAGGTTTGTACAGTTAATTATGCCTGTAGAGATTATTTCCCCTTCGTGGTTCTGCAAAGAACAGACCAAAGCTGCAATTAATTCCTTATTTCTGATCCTAACCAATTCTGCTTTCCTACTGGGGAAAAGACTATGAAGTGCTGCCACCTCCTGTTACAGATAAGGCAACATAAATATTGCATAACATTAAACTTAAGACCTAGAACCCAGGGCACCGCCAAGGTATTTTACCTATTCATTAAACTGCCATATTTTTCCGTCTATAAGATGCCCCCATGTATAAGATGCCCCCTATTTTTGGGGACTCAGATTTAAGAAAATGGGGGGAGATGGCCCAGAGTATAAGATGCCCCCTAATTTTTGACATTATTTTAAAGGAAAAAACCCTAGTCTTACACACAGAAAAATACGGTAACTGCTCAAAAGTCACTACACAGCTACTTGCAAACTGTGAATTCATCCTAAAAGTCTCTAGAAACGCTAGAAACTGTCCAAAAAACAGACACAATGATGCCTAATGTAAAAATATCTGCTCTATTAAAGAAAACTGAAATCCTAACCCACTTACCTGGGAGCAAGCCCCATTGAATTTAGTAGGATTTACTTCTGAACAGATGTGGCTAGGATTCTGCTGTGAGTTGGGTGAAAAACACCTCCTTGCTTATACTATAGCATACGCATCTAACAGCATCCCACAACTCATTTCTTCAACCACCTAAGTCTTAGCACAAAGACATCTCTTTCAAATAACTTCCTTAACAGGGTTGCAGAATACTGTAATGGAATCCTGATTATTTAAGCAGTGTTCTAAATGATATTGTGTAATGTAGTCTGTCCTTTGAATAATAATTTACTTTATAGTGTGTTTGATGGGGGAAGTCTTCCATCCTGGTCAGATGACTGCAGGTTTAACTGTCACTGGGGACTTTAGACAGGTGATTAGGGGTTGGGGAGAGAACCCTCAGTATGCAAAAGAATGGTATACTATATGCATGTTCTAGTTGGTAGTTGCAGATTTAGGAGGTGGGCAGGTATTGGGGGCTGTGCCCCTAAAGGACCAAGTGTGCAGCCTGGGGGTCATTTTGAACTCTCAACAGTCTATGGAGATGCAGGTCAATGCTGCATCCAAGGCAGCTGTCTGACCTGAGAGGAAGGCAGAAAGTGGCGTGGTGGTTGAAGACTTACTGGGGAAGCTGAACCACTTACCCTAGGCTGAAGAGACCTGTCCACAGTGCTGAGGGAAAAGAATCAGGTAGGTAGCCGTGTTGGTCTGACACAGTCAAAATAAATAAAAAAATTGTCCAGTAGCACCTTAGAGACCAACTAAGTTTGTTCTGGGTATAAGCTTTCGTGCGCACACAAAAGCTTATACCCAGAACAAACTTAGTTGGTCTCTAAGGTGCTACTGGACAATGTTTTTATTTATTTTGAGGGAAATGCAGTGAGGCAAATGGGAATGCTAGGTCTGTTAGGAGAGTCTGAGGATGATTCCAGGAGAGCATGGCAAAAAAAACAGACTTGCACTTCAATTACATCAGTAGGGAATGAAACTGAGACTTCAACAAAGGCCCTCAGTTTTGGTATGGCTTAACTGCGATGAAGTAATTACAAAGGCAATCTGGCAAAAGAGTTTAAACAGGGGCAACCATTGCTCGGAGCTTTCCTGGTTTAGAAAAAAAAGCAGCTGGTATTTAAAGTGGCATCAATAAGTTAAAGAGTAAACTGTACCCATTTAAAAAATACATTCCTATATTAAAATTACCACATTCTTTATTACAAGAATATGCAGTGCACAAACTTATGTGGTTAATTAATATCTTTTTTAAATACAGTAACTACCAGGGGCTGTACCTCTGCTTGCCCCATTCGCAAACACCCCACTATTCCTCCCAAATTAACCCCTTGGCCCCTCTAGAACTACTGAGCTCACTTTTCACCTTCCCACCCCCGTGCCTGAAGCCCTTTCTGTATTCTTCTCACCACACATTACAACTACTCACTACCCTTTTCAACTTCCGCCCAGTTATGAAACCACCCCTCCTTCTATTTTGCAGGCCCTTTCATGCCCCTTTCATCCTCACCCCGGCCTTCCCTAGTTCAACTACGATAAGCACCTGTATCCCACAGGTACTCTACTCAGAGCAATGATTGTCTACAATTATTCTTATACAGAACTGTGATGGGAAGATGAGCTGCTTGTGCGTAAAATCGTATTCCCTCAGAGTTTGTTCAAGTCCACAAACCTCTGTCTGTGACTGAGCCCCTCTGACATGGCTCCTCTAGTCACTAGAAGATTCCGACAGTGGTTGCTTTCGTAATCGCTTCCAACATAAAAGCTCCTTAACGGAAACACATCTTCTGGACTCTCTGCGTGACAGTTTCCGGCGAGGAGTGGGTGTCCCTACAGGAGGTCCGGAAACCTCACCACTGTTTTCGCTGGAAGTATCTCTGAGCCATCCCCCCCAGCTCCCTTTCCCTCAGTTCAGCTTCTCTCCCCCCTGCTGGTTTCCTCTTCAGCTGCTGAGTCTCTTCCAACCTGTCTGAGCCCTTTCACCTCCCTCAGTTCAGCTTCTCTCCCCTTGCTGGTTCCCTCTTCAGCTGCTGAGTCTCTTCCAACCTGTCTGAGTCCTTTCACCTCCCTTCCTTCCGATGGCAGTTCCCTGACATCCACCTCCCCTCCAGGGCCCCCTTCACCCCCTCTCGCCCCCTCCTCTACGGGCGGTGAGGAGGCAAAACCCGGAATGAACTTCCTTCATCTTCCGATGTCTCGAACACTTCTCTCCACCTGTTGCGGTTCCTGGTCTCGAAGCACTCCTCCTCCTCCGAGTCCATCTCCCCTTCCCCTTCCGATTCTGGGAATCCTTCCAACTCCTCCTCCTCCTCAGTGGTCCCAAAGTATTCCCTCCGGAACCTCTCCACAGGCTGAGGTTTCCTCGGGAACCTTTGATGGAACGTTTCTATCAATACCTCGTCATTGATATCTTCGGCCATTACCCACGTGTTTTCTGACTCCGGTTCTCCTTCCCACGCTACCAAATACTCCACCTGATTCCCCTTCCACCTGGCATCAAGGATTTCTGCCACATGACTGCTGCATTCTCTTTCTTCTATGACCGGTCCCAGTGGCCATCCCTTCTCGTCCCCCCTCGTACGGTGACAGTAACGACCTGTGAAATACTGGGTGTAGTTTCATGTGGTTGGGTAACCGGAGCCTGAAAGCCACTGGGTTGACCTGTTGAATGACCTCAAAGGGACCCAACCTCCTGGGTCTTAATTTCTTACAACCCCCTTTGAACGGCAACCCTCGGGTTGACAGCCACACCCTATCTCCAACCCTTATGGTTTCACCTTCCCTTCGGTTCTTGTCTGCCTGCCTCTTGTATTCTTCCTTCGCCCTTTCTAAGTTGAGTTGGAGCTGACGGTGGATTGCTTCCATTTCTTCTACAAAATGCTCGGCTGCCGGTACGCTCCATCTCTCCCCTTCTCCCCCTGGGAAAGCCCTGGGATGACACCCATAATTAGCCAAGAAGGGGCTCATCCCTGTGGACACATTCTCGGCATTGTTGTAGGCAAATTCCGCCAGCGCCAACTTTTCTACCCAGTCATTCTCTCTGTCATTGACATAACACCTCAGGTATTGCTGGAGGACACCGTTTGCTCTTTCCGCCTGCCCGTTGGTTTCAGGGTGCCGGGCAGTCGAACAGTTGACCTCCACCTGCAGTAAGCTCATGAGCTTCCTCCAGAACCTGGAAGTAAATTGTTTTCCTCGGTCTGAGACCACCCTCAATGGCACCCCGTGCAACCTAAAAATGTGTTCTACAAATAACTTCGCTGTCTCTTCCGCCGTGACTGCATGCGAGCAAGCTACAAAGTGGCACATCTTTGTTAGTAGGTCTACCACCACCATGATGGCTGTTTTCCCTTTGGACTTCGGCAGATCAGTCATAAAATCTATCGACACTGCCTCCCAAGGTCGTTCTGGTGTTGGTAAGGGTTCTAATAGCCCCGCCGGCGCCCGCCTTTCCCCTTTGGCTCGCTGGCACTGCTCGCACCCTCTTACATACTCACGTACATCCTCCCTCACCTTAGGCCACCAAAATTCCCTGGTGACCAACCACATGGTTTTGTGTTGCCCAAAATGCCCGCCGTGGGGCTGTCATGCAACTGCTTGAGTACCCTCCCCCTTAAGTCTCCTTCAGGGATATACAGTGCCCCTTTGTAATACAAAGCTCCATTTCTTTCCTCGAAACCCCTTGATTCCTCTCCCTCATCCCTAAGACCTCTGAGCTTATTCTGGGCGTATTCATCATTCTCTGTTTCTTCTACCAGTTCTCTTTGTCCCACCAATGCCGCCCCACACACCCAGCGGTCCTCTGGAATGACATGTCTCTCTTCGGGTGCTCCCTCCCCCTCCAAATATTCAGGTTTGCGTGAGAGAGCGTCCGCCCTAATGTTCTCTGGGCCTGGCACGTAACAAATCTCAAAGTTAAATTTGGAGAATTCCTGGGCCCACCTCACTTGCCGTTGGTTGAGCACTCGTGCCGTCCTCCAATACTCTAGGTTCTTGTGGTCAGTGCACACTTGCACCTTATGTTGTGCGCCAATTAGCAGGTGCCTCCATCTCCGGAACGCCTCATGAATGGCTAGTAGTTCTCGGTCATACACCGTGTAGTTCCTCTCGGATTTGTTCAGCTTTCGCGAAAAAAAGCACACGGTCTCCACTCTGACTCCTCCTTCCCTGGCTGGAGAAGCACCGCCCCAACCGCTCTGTCTGATGCGTCAGTTTCCACACTCATCGGTTTTTGTAAATCCACATGCAGGAGCTGTTGTTCCCAGGCCAAGGCCCTATTTAGTTCCTCAAATGCTTGCTCCGCCTCCTCCGTCCAAACGAACTTCTTCTTACTGCTGAGACAGTCCGTAATGGGCGCCGTCAGGTGGGCAAAGTTTGGGATGAACTTACGATAGAAGTTCCCAAATCCTAAAAACCTCTGCACATCCTTCCTTGTTTTGGGTGTTTTCCATTCCAGTACCGCCTGGACCTTGCCGGGATCCATGGCCAACCCCTTGTCAGACAGGCGATACCCCAGGAATTCCACCTCCTTGGTATGAAACTGACACTTCTCCAGTTTCACCCACAGCTGGTTGGCTTGCAGCCTGCTCAACACTTCTCTGACGTCTCTCACATGCTGCTCCTCATTCTCAGAATACACCAACACGTCGTCTAAGAAGGCCACACAATTCTTGTAAAGCAACGGCCCCAGGACGTGGTTCATAAACGATTGAAATGTTGCGGAGCCTGCTTGTAGACCGAAGGGCATAACTAAGTATTCAAATGCCCCTAAAGGGGTGAACATGGTGGTTTTCCATTCATCCCCCTTCCTTATTCGTATCAGGTTGTACGCCCCCCTTAGATCCAGCTTGGTGAAAATCTTTCCCTTCCGCACCCTTGTCAAAATGTCGTCAATCCTGGGCATCGGGAAGGCCACTGGTTCTGACACTGCATTTAAGGCCCTGAAGTCACACACCAGTCTCGGCTTGTTCGTGTTTTTTGTCCACAAAAACACTGGGCTGCCCCACCGCCCTGGACTCTCTGATGAACCCTCTCTTCAGGTTCTTGTCAATGAACTCTCTTAGCTCCTGCATCTCTCTGTCTGACATGGCGTACAGCTTGCCCACAGGGAGCTGTGCCCCAGGGAGCAAATTGATTTGACAGTCAAAGGCTCTATGCAGTGGTAGTTGGTCAGCTTCCCTTTCGCTGAAGACGTCGCGGAGATCTGCGTATTGTCGTGGTACCTTCACGTTCTCCGTTACTTCAGTCCCTGCTAGGGTGGCTTGGGCCCCTGCCAAAACCTTTCCCTCTTTGCAGTGTTCTAAGCAATGTGCTGACCCAAAAGAAACCACTCTTTGATGCCAGCCCACCAGCGGATCATGTAACGCTAGCCAGCTCATCCCCAATATAATGGGAGCTCCTCCCAAGGTGGCCACATTAAACGCTATTAGTTCGGTGTGCCTTGCCACCTTCATTATCATTGGGACGGTCTGCAAGCTGACTTCTCCTCCCAACAGCTCCCTGCCATCGATCGTGGTTACCTGCAGGGGTTGCTTAAAGGGAGCGTCTGTATCTGGTGTTCAGCTGCAAACTCTTTGCTCATGAAATTGCAGGAGCTGCCTGAGTCCAACAGCGCCTTTATCTTTAGAGGGTGTCCGTTTGGCAGCTCTAGTGTCACTTCTATCACTAGGGCGGGTTTAGGAGGTTCTGGCGTGGGCACTTTCACTGCTCTTTGGCCTGGCTGCTGTGCCCCGACAATGGCAGCCAGGCGTTGGCTTTAGTTGCTCCGGTATTTTTCCTCTCTTCCCTCCACAGCTCCCACCATCCCTTGCCATTCCTTCCTCTGGGGGCA